TTTAGAATGTTAATGGGCCCTAAATGTTTCAGTACATTCAAATTAGCAACTTTAAGATAAAATCCTACTGATGAATAAGGAAACAACTAGCACCTTAACACATCAAAATTCTAAATTAATTATCAAAATGCATGTGTCTTTGGACCAGTTCAGTTTATTTGGAATCCATTCAAGATGGCTATGGGAGTCACTCCTGTGAAACTAAAGATGTCGCCACCCCCTGACTGACCCAACTGCACACACCACTGCCACCAGACTGAGCTGTATCTACTCCAATCTGACGGGGGTGGGGTAGGTGGGGGGTGTTCACGCACAATAGTGCTATGTGGTATATCCCATTCTGGCCAGTCCGTGTAAATAAGATTCAGGACTTTCGACGCCACGATTAATGAATGCAAAGGAAAATAAAGGAGGAACAAACAAATAATAAAGAGAGCCTTTTTCTTTACAAGGCAGTAGCAAGTATCCTATCAAATAGCATATGCATGCCTAGTTCCTTAAAGAAACATTCTTAAACCAAAATACTTCAATTATATTAAAAGTGTGCTTTAAAACATGATCTTAGAAAGACCCTGGTGATGTGCTATCCACTTTGCTCTTACTCTGCTCAACTTACATCCATATTTAAACTGCCCCTAGTCAAGATCCAATACTTAATGGCCGGTTCTCGGGAAATGCCTCTGTGCTGTATGTATAATTAGGGCCTGTCTGAAGTTCCTTCTGTGACTTGCTGGTTAAGTAGCACAGAGGGCACTGGGGGGGGGGTCCTGGGGCCCCGTTCTTTGTTACACAGTGGACACCTCTGGAAGGCCTGACCCGGGCCCACAAGCACATCTGGGCTTTACAAACAGTCCCTAAGACTACTTCGGCCTCCTACTTAGCACCGAGGAAACTGGTCGGGTCCCATAGGAAGGTCACAAACCAACACACGGCAGCCCCTCGCTGATATGCTCGCCCCAAGTGCCCATCGGCCTCTCCCGCCCCAAACATGCCCCTTTCAGGGGTGCAGGACCCAACTCAGGTGTGAAGACTTATGTAACCGTCCTCGGGGACCACGCCTTTCCCACCACCCAGCCTCCAGCAGAACAAAGTGAAGTTTAAAATAGAAACCAATTACCTGGCCTCCGCAGTGCCTCGGCCCCGGAGCTTGGCCGCGCCG